ATAGTTGGTGCTCAGAAAATGATTACTGTTATTATTTATTATTATTAAGTCTTATTGCTGCCTACATAGGTTTTCCCAAGTTGGGACACCATGTTTTGCTCATTCAGTGATTGACGGGCACTCAGGTTGACTCCATTTATCATTGTTTTATTAATGACACTGCTGTGAATCACTTTGGACAAATTACTTTGGTAGCAGAAGGGGCTACAGGCGGCTCTGACTTTCTTGGACATGTTCTCCAAATGGAATTATGTAATAAGAATTACAAAACTTGTTACATGTTGATAAACAATGTCTGTCAGAATTAGCAGAATACTGAGGTCAGGTAGATTCTTTTGGCCCTTTTCTGTCCTTAGGAATGAAAAACACCTTCAAGCACTCTTGTGTAAGAGAGAGAATGGGTCTCTTTCAATGACAAATTGTCTGAACACAGGCTCAGTTACTTCTAGGAATGAAACAAAGCAGTGAAGAAGTTTAGTTTCCAGTTGAGTGATTCTTGGAGGAAAAAAATGAGAAATGGGTGCCAGCACTCTCAAGTGTGAGTAAACATCCCCATTTCTGGATCCTGGTAAAAGTCAGTAAAGAAACTTTTTTTCTGGGGTGAGAGCTATTAAGATTTATTCCATGATAGTCACACTGTCTGAAAGCTTGCAAGCAGTGTCATTTGATGGCTTGCATATTGGAGACTGGGGATTTCAGTAATTCGGAAGCATATTTCTCTATGTTTGGCAAGCTTGAGCTTTTACTGAAGCCTCAGTAGGAACCCTTTGCACTTGTCACTTGCTAATTTCTGAGAATGCAGCACTCTTGAAGGGATATTAATTGTCAATAATATCTAACTTTTATGGATACTTGCTGTTTTTCAGATATTGTTATTTTTTAACTTTTTTATTTTATTTTTCAATTACATGTAGCATTTAATATTATTTTATATTAGTTTCAGGTGTACAGCATAGTGTTAGACAGTCTGTAGACAGAAAGTAAATTATCTTTGCATAGGGCTGAGAGTGGAAGGGTGGAGGGAGATGGAGAGTGACTGCTAATGGATACAGGGTTTCTTTTAGGGAGGCCAAAATTTCCTAAAATTAGATGGTTGCAAAACTCTAAATATACTAAAAAACATTGAATTGTGTACTTTACATTGGGTGAATTATATGGTATATAAATTATATCTCAAAAAATCTGTTAAAAATCATATTTTGCCATATCTACCTCCAGTTTGGGCTACTATTCTTAGACACTACTACCTAAGAAATTCCCCACTTCTGTAACCTGCACTGAAGCTCTGTCTTCATGTCACTTGCTGCCTTAGGTAGAGTGTCTGTCTTTATATCTCCAATGTCTAGCACAGCTCCTCATACTTAGTAACCACCCAAATATTTATTAAACTGAAATGACAGCAGTATTGCAGTTTAAGAGGGGGAAAGCCAGTCATTATCTTCAAAGACTCGGCCTCCTCTACCCCCTATCCTTTGTCCATCATGTATATACATATATACACATACACATCATATATGTACATATATACACATACATGTGTATGTGTGTATACATATATAACAACAATATTTGCTTTGCTGTTTACAAAGAATTTTCAAGAGCATTAACTCATTTAATCTAAAAGCAACCTTGTGAGGTTAGTATGATTGTTACAGCCATTATACAGAGAAAGACACTAACTCAGAAAAGTTAATCTCCAGTCACCATGGGACATTGCCAGCCGTGAAAGCCAGGGCCTTTCCACTGTATGTCACAGCCCCTCACTTCCCCACATTCATAATAAGGTCCCTGACCACTGATGGCAGGCCAGCTACAGATGGTTTACAAGGTTTTCAGAGTCAAAGAGAAATTATCCTTTTGGTTACCCATTTTATTGGATTGGCTTGAGCAGTCAAGAGTTAAACCCATCAGTAGAGGCATAAAATAAAAGTCAGCAGTCAGTTTTTCTCAATTTCTGTGTTTTGTTGCAAACATCTGTGGTGGTTAGAAAAATTGATTCTTATGATCAGATGCTGGTTCATGCTGTGCCCATGATTTTATTTTATTTTTTCTGAAGAAATGGATAATAAGCCCATTTTCTTGCTGTTCCCTGTGGCTGAGCTAGTTCTGCTGCACAGCAGTTGGAGAAATTCCATTCAGCCAATATTTATGGATGTGCCTTTAATGTGCCAGGCAGTACACAAGGAGCTGAGGAGGCAGAGATGAGTAAGCCCCAGTCCGTATTCTCAGAAGTCATAGTATTTTCCAGGCCCTTAGTCATGGCATGCAATTTGGATTAGTTTGCTTTTACATTTTGGTGAAATGCAGTGCCTCTCTCAGAAAGTTGCTATCTATAAGAATTTTTTTTGGTTGAATATACAGGAAGAAAAGAAATGACACAAATGTGTAGGACTCAAAAGTGATACAAACTGATCTTTCGCTTCAGAGCCAGCCATGCTAGATTCAGAGTCTGGTGACATTTCATCCCCTCACAGATCAATAGAATTCATTTATAGACTCTAAATAAAAGCATGAGGATTTACACAATTGAAACCCAGCTTCCTCTCCACTCACATTTGCCAAGTCATCACATCTCTGCATTCTGTGAATTTATTTTAAAATGCCAGAAGTAATACGTCAACATTGCAGAAGTGAGGGCAGTGGAGGAAAATGACAAAGTAGAGGGTACTAGTCACCTCAAATGTCACTACCCCAAGACTGAAAGGCAGCTGGATCCTGCACCTCAGTCTCCACGTTTGTGAAACTGGGAATGAGACTAAACGAGTAGCGCATGTAAAGCACACACTCCCTCAAAAGCCCACAATAAATGCGTATCTTACTAGAGCAAAACCAAACGTTTGTATATAGTCCCTTTGTCTTGTTTTTCCTGTTTTCTTTTACGAAGTTGTTTTCTTGTACTTCTGTATCCTGTTTCTTATCATTCCCGTCCTGCTCCGTGTGATTACTGTAATTTTTAATAGTTGTACGTTGTTCCGAGGTAGTGTGTGGGTGGCTGTCCCATCATAGCTTATCCAGTCCCCTGTTGTTGGACTTTCATTGCTTCAGTATCTCAGTATTATAAACAGTGCTTCAGTGAACAGTTGTGTGTGTAGTATACTCACTTAGCTCCTGGGAAATCTTAGGCGGTGTACTTCATCTCTGTGTCTTTGTCGCCCTGATGCTAAATGGGGTTAGACTGGGATCTGCCTGGGAGGATAACTGTGTGGCTTAAATGATGTAATACAGCAAAGCACTTGGAACAGTGCCTGCCACTTACCAGATGCTCAGTAAACTTTACCTCTTAACCTCAGTTTGGGTTTATTTCTTTAGGCTCACTCTCCAGAGATGGGTTTTAGCAGTTTATGATGTCAACAGCAGTCATCCCAGGTTTTAACTATTTACCTCTCTTTCCTTTTAAAATAATAGTGAAAAAACAAGTCCCTCCATATTTGGGCAGCTTGTTATGACCAGAACTCACTTCTGCTCATTGCCCTGAAGAGTCAGATCTCATGTCACAAAGGTTGGGTTCCAGAGGCTATTTGTATGTTTTCCTGAGCTTTTAGCCCCCAGCTGCTTTCCACCAAATTATAGCGTAAGTTGGTCTTAAAAACCAGGCATATTTTATTCCTTGCTGATGTATATACTATTGGGTAGCATTTTATTTTTGCTCTAGGAAAATCTGTTGTGGCACATAATGATTTTGATGATCCTCCTGCCCTCCACCCCCCCAAAGGGTAATCGTTTGTCCTGATTTGCCCAGCTTGTACTTATCCCAGTGGAATTATTCATAGTACCCCCTTCGCCCTCAAAAGTGGCCTAGTTTGGATGATAAATTGTCACCTCGTCCCAGGGGATTCCTCAGCAGCTAGGGGATCTACCTGTACTCACTACCTCACTACTTTCCGAGACAACTTTCTATCTGTCCAACAAAGGCTTCAGCCACGTTGCTTTCACCAAGCTTCACCTGGGAGGTCCTCACATGTGCCCAGCCTTGAATTAATATTAGCCCAATAGGCATTCACTCAAGTTTTCCCATTTTATCACCTCCCCCCCCCAGTATCTTGCTGATAATAATTGTCAGTGTCATAGGCATGCCAGGGCCCTTTAAATTTGTTTTAAAATTTGTTCTTTGTCCTTCAGAATGATTTATTTTGCAGATTAATTCATTCTACAGGCAGATATACCATTTCTCATTTCTCTCTACTTAAATTTTAAAAATTAGCCCTGGTCAGGTGGCTCAGTTGGTTGGAGAATCGTCCACTACACCAAAAGGTTGTGGGTTCGATTCCTGGTCAGGGCACATACAGGAGGCAATGGATTGATGTTTCTCTCGCACATCGATGTTTTTCTCTCTCTCTCTCTCTCTCTCTGTTCCCCTCCTTCTCTCCCTTCCACTATCTTTAGAAATCAATAGAAAAAATATCCTCAGGTGAGGATTAACAAAATAATAATAATCTGCTTTCAAGTTCATCTTAAAATGTAAACAAGATACTAGGACTTTTAACTCTAGCTGCTCTTGCCCTTATCGAGTATAATAAGGTGTTTATATTCATAAAGCTGCTTAAAAGCCCTTGTTGCAAGCACAGCAAACAGGTCCAAGCTGAGTGGGCAGTAACAAGGACATGCCTGAGGTGATACTACACAGAAACCCCATCTCCATGCTTGATCACAGGCAGAGTTTTGTTCACAAGATGAAAGTTTGTAAGTACAGAAGTTTATGCATTGGAAAAACAAAAACAAAACCATCATCAGCTTCTCGATGATGATTACCTTTTGCACTTAGGTAACTATATATTTTAGCTGTCATAAGGACTTTATGATTCGAGAGGCTTTCTTTTTTCCCCAAACAAGTGCCTGCATTCCTTGGGCAGTGTGTTCACGATTTTAAGGAGGAAAGGGAAATGTTTTGAATGAGGGATGCTGCCGTCTTGAACTAGTGCAGGATCGGAGTGGGGCTGTAGTCCGTAGGTCAGAATGTGGATTATCAGTGGGAAATTTGTTTTTCCGTTTGTTTTAACCAGGCGACTTTCGGATGGTGGTTGGAGAGGATAAGACAAAAGTGTTGAATATTGTAAAGCCCAACATAGCCCACTTTCGTGAGCTGTATGGCAGCATACTACAAGAGAATCCACAAGTGGTGTATAAAATCCAGCAAGGCAGACTGGAGGTAACTGTAGAAAGTAACTTCTACCGTTTCTAAGGCTAATATCTATTTTAAGGGGGAAAGTAAGGGTTAGAGCAATATAACTAGTGTGATAACATATTTTTAAAAGTAAGTTTTATATATAAACATGCTTAAAAAGGTAACAAAATAGATTGGTAATAAGAAGCTACCTTTGGAGAAGGGAACCAGGGCTGATGTGGGAGCGCAGCTTGTCTTCACGGTATATATCTCTTTTGCCGTTTGAAATTCTTACTATGCATATTAATTACCAGTCAAAAACAAGTCAAAATAAACTCTCAGATTACCTTCTTTCTGTCCCCAATTTCATTTGCCTCCCCAGTGGTAACCATCCTGACAGTTTGGCATTTATTCTTCCAGACTTTTTTTGCATGCATTTTTTATATATTTGTACCTATACACATATATGATGTGGTTTGGTCTTTTTTGTGTGTTTGGTTTTTTTTTTTACATAAATGGACTCATGCATATTATTCTGAAGCTTGTTTTTATCCCCCATTTGTTATATTAATTAGTTGTGTGTTTTTTAAAATATATCTTTATTGATTTCAGAGAGAGGAAAGGAGAGGGAGAGGGAGAGGTAGAAACATCAATGATGAGAGAGTCATTGATTGGCTGCCNGAGGTAGAAACATCAATGATGAGAGAGTCATTGATTGGGTGCCTAGCCCGCTACCAGGGCATGTGCCCTGGCCAGGAATCGAACCCCAATTGCCTGGATCCTAGGTCGACGCTCAACCGCTGAGCCATGCCCGGCCAGGCTAATCAGTTCTTGAAACTCTCCTTTCAATACATTAAGTAAAACTTTCTTTCAAGGTACTTTAAAAATAATATTAAGTATTTGAAAATAAATATTAAAGAACTTTTCCTTGGAGAAAAATAATTTGGATTTAAGATTTTTTTAAACTATAGAAACCTCAGGGTTTTTTTTACATTTTTAGCATAAAGAACACTGTATTTTACCCTTTTATGCTCTTCTTCCAACTAATAATTATTTTAAATGTAAGGAAGGAATAGAGAGTATCATGAAATGCCCAGAATACCCACTGCTCCACTGAGCAGACTTTTCCATGTTTGCTTCAGATTGAGGTTTTCCTGTTTTCAGTTTTTACTTTTCTCAAAGTGATGCATATACATGGTTTAAAAATCAAATGGTACCTCACAGTTTATACGTTAGAGTTCCCTGCTATATACCTTCCTACATCTCAGTGCTACTTCCTAGAAGTCAGCTGCTTTCATCTCAGTAGCTGATTCTTCTGATGTTTACCTCCGTATTTCTAAATAATGATTTGACTGTCATTTCTTGATTTTTAAAATTTTATACTTTATTTTTGCCATCGCCTGTGAAAGATGAGGATATTTTACTGTTATGCCACCCTCATCAACACACACAAGCACAGATTTATTTTAAGGAAGTAGCTCACATGATTGTGGGGAGAGCTGACAGGTTTGAAATTTGCAAGGCAAGTTGGGAAGCAGGAGACCCAGTGTGGCAGTCTTGAGTCTGAGAGAAATCTGGAGACAGAATTCCTTCATCCTCCAGAGGCTTTAGTCTTTTCTCTTAAGGCCTTCAACTTACTAGATGAGGCCCACCCACATTATAGAAGGTCATCTGCTTTACTCAAAGTCTACTGACTTAAATGTTAATTACATCTAAAAAATACCTTTACAGTAACATCTAGATTAATATTTAACCAAGCTACTGGACACCGTAGCCTAGCCAGCTTAATGCGTTAAATTAAACATCACACCCTGCATCTTTTAGGTCTACAGGTGACACTAATCTCCATCATATCTCCCAGGATGTTTTTATTTTTTAATTAGTCTTTTGACTAGGGGGTGAGAATGGCAGTTTCAGAGGCTCCCACTTGCCTTTCCACACTATCACAGCTTCAAAATGCCACCTTTGAGTGTGCATTCTAGAACCATTCCTGGTACCAATTGTGTAAGATCAAGACGGAAATGAAGACCTCATTTGATCTTGTGGTGACACTGTGGAGCTAGGTGGCCCTTCTTAGTTGTCCCAACACCTGGCAAAGAGACCAGGCCTTTGTACTCCTGCATTTTCCAGTCATTGGACACAGGCAGTTCACTTTAGCTGAGGACAGTTCTGGGAGGGGCTCTGAGAAGGTGCCAGCTGCCAGTGGATTGAGTACTTTGGCCCTGAAGCCAGGACCTGAGTGATGCAACACAGCATCCACCATCATATAACCATATCTGCCTTTTAAAATATCAGCTTTATTGAGATGTAACACACATACCATAAAATTCAGTGATTTTTTTTTTAGTATATTCACAGAGTTGTGCAGCCATCACCACAGTATAATTTTAGAACATTCCCATCACTCCAAAAAGAAATCTCATTCTCATTAGCAGTGCCTAGCTTCTCCTCCCCTCAGGCAACCACTGATCTACTTTCTGCCTCTGTGGATTTGCCTGTTCTAGATACTTTGCTTAAATATAATATGTGGACTTTTCCCATGTCTGCTTTGAAAATGCAATCTCATTCATTGCTTCTCATCATTTAACTGAATGCTTTCTCTTTCATGTCAGTAAAACATGAAGAATTAAAGAGTAAGGATAATTAGACAGAATTTAACAATTTATTTGAACATGTCAAGTAATATTTTGTCTAAACATGTTTCCAAGCAAAAATTCCAGTACATTCTTTTCTGTGAGAGAAAGCAGTGAAAGAAAGGATGCTTTTTTCTATTTATTTATTTATTTATTAATCCTCACATGAGGATGTTTTTTTCCATTGGTTTTTTAGAGAGTGGAAGGAAAGAAGAGGGAAAGAGAGAGTGATAGAAAGAGAGAAAGAAACACCGATGTGAGAGAGACACATCAACTGGTTGCCTCCCACACGCGCCCCAACTAGGACAGGGATGGAACGTGCAACCCAGGTACGTGCCCTTGACCAGGAATCAAACCCAAAACCCTTCAGTGCGCAGGCCGATGCTCTAACCACTGAGCAACATTGACCAGGGCACAAATGCTATTTATTAATTCCTTATAGTATTCAAGCCATTTTGACATCTCTAAAATTCCTGAAAGTTTCATAGGTAAAGCCTTATAGAAATACATGATCCTTTTCACTAATCTCAATATTTGGCTCCAAATATGAATGCATAAATGTCATTTCTAGCATATTTTACAGAAAAATCCACTTTTTGGTCATTTAGATCCCACTCTGTCTTATTGGCTGTATGATCCTGGCTGTGTTATTCTGTGTCCTTGTGTTTAAAATGGAAGAAGTAGCCCATCCAGCGTGGCTCAGTTGCTGAGCATTGACCTATGATCCAGGAGACTGGTTCGATTACCAGTCACGGCACATGCCCAGGGCTGTGGGCTCGACCCCCAGAAGGGGGTGTGCAGACTCTCATCATTGATGTTTCTATATCTCCCTCTCACTTCCTCTCTCTGAAATCAATAAAAGATATATTTGAAATAATAAGAATAAGAAAAAATAAAATGAAAGAAGTAGCCCTAGGTGGTTTGGCTCAGTGGTTAGAGTGTCTACCCTCAGACTGAAGGGTCCCAGGTTCGGTTCCAGCCAAGGGCATGTACCTCAGTTGCAGACTCGTCCCCAGCCCTGGTCAGGGTGTATGCAGGAGTCAACCAGCCACTGTGTCTCTCTCACATCAGTGTTTCTCTCCCCCCACCACCCCCCCCACACGCTCTCTGAAAAGCAATGGAAAAAATATCCTCGGGTGAGGATTAAAAAATAAAATGGAAGAAATAATTAGAGTGCCTGGATTTTCTGGGGCCTCAATGACTGTTAGTTGCAGCCTTACTTCCTTTAACTGTTGGATTTAAGGCAAATAGAAATTTTAAAACTGAAAATCAGAAATCGATCCTTGGAAGAGGCATTTGTTCTTTTCTCTGTAAAAATGGAATATTATAGGTAAAGAATTGGTTTTTATGAAGGAACTTGGAATCCTGAACACTTATGCATTTAGTTTCAGAAAGGAGACTGTCTCCTTAGCATGCCGTCTAGGATAGCATATGGGTTCATATATGTTTGTGTGACTTTAAAGAGAAGTCATGGGGCCCTGGCCAGGTGGCTCAGTCAGTTGGAGCATCATCCTGGACACGAAAAGGTTGTGGGTTCAATTCCCAGTCAGGGCATGTATGGGAGGCAACCCATTGATGTTTCTCTCTCACATCCTTGTTTCTTTCTTTCTTCCTTTCTCCCTCTAAACATATCCTCGGTTAAGGGCTAAAAAAATAAAATAAATAAAGAGGAACCACAGGCCTTTGAATATTTATGGAATTCAAAGTACTTTCCATCAACCTCATCTTTTTTTTTAATTCCTTAGATAGATAAAAGCCCAGAAGGACAATTCACGCAGCTAATGACATTACCCAAAACCTTACAGCAACAAATAAATCGTATTATGGACCCTCCTGGAAGGAACAGAGATGTGGAAGAAACTTTTTTACAACTTGCTCATGACCCTGACTGCGGAGATGTGGTACGACTAGGTATGTTCATGAATTTGACACTGAGAAAGTGCTGGCTGTGGGTAGAAGGCAAACTTTGTTTGTGACTGTGATGTATTCTTTATTCTTTCTTACCTGGTGAGATCAAGAGATAGATTGCTTCTAGAAAGAAGAAAGCACTAGCAATCCCTGGGGGGTTCCAAATTTAAATTCTCATTTGTTTGAAGTAGGGTGGTATAAACGTATTTTTCAAATTCCTGGATCCTAAATCACTGCCAAAGGGGGAAAACAATGTTTCTTTTGGTCCCAAGAGCATAACCTCTAGCAGTTATTGCAAAGACAAGTCTGTGTTCTTCATGGTGGTCTCAGAAGGCAGGAAACTGGTGACATTTTTAATGCTTTTATGACATCAAGAACACAGCTTTTATCAGATGACTTTAAAAACACAGCTTTCGTCAGCCGACTCCCATTCGGTGTGTCTCATAGTGTGTTCAGCAGGTAACCTCTGACATGGCCTATGTTCTACGCATTATTCCCAGGGCCTCCCTAATATTTACCAAAAAATCTGAACCTTGTCTTCAGAGACCCACTTCCCTTTGAGGTGTTAAAGGTAATTTATTAAATAATTTTGAAATTGAAAATGACTCCCTCAGATGAGTGCATTCTCCCATTTCATTGACTAAGTACTTGACCCTCCAAGGTAGAAGCCATTGTGCTAGATATTCACAGTGACAATACTGAACATTAACTGCAATAGGCAGGCTCCACACACACTCTCTCAGTGACCTGCCTCAGGTTGTTAGAGCATATGTTTAGGTCACCAGATACCTATTCTGAAGATAAATATGGAGGCCTGTCCTTTGTTGTTTTTTATTTTAACATGATTCTGGTCACGATGTGATCTCTGCTGCCTTTCACAGGGCATGAGAGAGGCTGTACTGTGGATCCTCACTGAGGAGTCCTCTATGTGTGTTTTCAGAATGGAAGTTTTATTCCTGGGCAGAAACATTTGGGTTTTTATTTGGGTTTCTTTTTTTAATCTTTTTACATCTTGGACTTGAGAACAGCAGCCTTAAGTAGATTTAAGGTCATAAAGTGACCTTTGAAGGTCACCTAACCCACCCTGTTTTAAAGTGAGGATACCCAGACCCATTTGCCTGTGCCCATGCCACTGGCTCGGGGACGCGGCTGGCAACTCCAGTCTCCTGGCCCTCAGTCCTGATACCCTTTTCACTGTCATTCTATGACACCAGAACAGATAGATTTGCTGGTTTTATTGGATAACTGAAAGAATATTTAGTTTCAGGTTTTAAAAGTGTTGAGATGACTAACATCTGGCTTTTTTGGCATCCTTGCTGGATTTTTTTCTCACAGGGCTTTCAGCAATTGTGAGACCTTCTAGCCTGAGACAGAGCATCAAAGGCATTTTCACTGCCGGTAAGAACTTAGAAAATCCGTACTTAATGAAGCTGCTGGATTGAGGAGCCTCAGCGCCCCTGGTTAAAATGTAAAGCTTTATCTGTATCCTGCAGGTACTTGTGAAATACTGAATTTTGATGGTCATAAACTAGGATATTGCAATAATGTACCAGATAGGCAGACAGCACTGTAATCTGGTCGTCTAAAAAAGTCAAACCATATGAGGTACTCTTGGAAGGCTTTACTCCCCCTCTGAGTTTTCTGAATAACTCCTTGTGTGCAAGTTTTTCCCTCGTGTTTTTATTTATGAAAGTTACACGTGCATATCATTGCAGAAACAGCAGCACCTTGCCCTTCTCCCTCACTTGCCCTTCTCCCCCACTTCCCCTCTCCTGAGACAACTGCTTCCAACTCTCTTAGTGGGTTATTTTTGTTTTCACTCCCAGTTCACTAAATAATAAGCTTATATTACTGCTTCTTTGCTTTTCAATTTTAGGCATTATCTGTTGACTTCTCACTATGGTAGATTAGAATTCAACTCTTCCACCCACCTTACCACACACACTCACCCCTCCAATCCCTCTGTCCTCCTGGTACAGTTATATTGCAGCTCTGGTTAGGTCAGTCTTCAGAGTTTACGTTGTGTGACTGTGTTAATGAGATTCATAGGTGAGCCACATACAACGCTTTTCCTTCTCTACACAACGTTCTTGGCCCACAGAGATTGCCTTTATCTGTTTCATGCAAGGGATACCTTCTTTCCCGTGTCTCATTCTTCTGTCCTCATGGTGCACACTCTCGTTTTGGTGAAGCACACCTTACAGTAATTTTCTGAGAAAGGGTGCATGGGAGGCAGATTTGGAGATCATGTATGTCTAAAAGTATCTTTAGTCTACCCTTCCACATAAATTGAGACTTAGGCTGGGGATAGATTGGAAATAATTTTCCTTTAGAATTTTGATACCATTGCTCCAACTATCTTCTCACTTCTAGGGCTGCTGTCAAAGTCCAGATCCATTCTGATTATTAATCCTCTGTGTATGTTCTTTCCAGAGGCCTGGTGGGTCTTCATTTGCCTGCAGGGCTCTGATGTGAGTCTGTCTTGACCTGTTACGATACTCATTGCTTTTTCAGTTCGATCACTCAGAATATAAGAGAATTTTCATTCTTTTTCATTTTCTTTTCATCTGTTTTCTCTCTTCTCTTTCTGGAACGCCTTTTATTCAAATATTGGACCTCCTAGACTAGTCCTTTGGTTTTCTTTCTTTTCCCTCCTATGTTTGATCTCTTTGTCCTTTTGTCCTGCTTTCTGGGAGATTTTCTCAACTTCAGCTTCCAACCCTTCTATTGAGTTTTTTATTTCTGCTATTACATTTCTAATTTCTAGGAGCTCTTTTTCTTTCTTTCTCTTTTTGACTGTTATTGTTGTTCTCTGAATATTCCATTTTTATTTTATTTTAAAACATACTGTTCTTGATTTTTGGACTTAAGCATTTGAACCGCTTTGGATATAACCAAATTGCCCTCCCAGGTAGTTCTGTCAATCCCACTAGTAATAAGTGAGAGTTCTCGTTTCTCCCCATTCTTTCCAATGCTTGGTGTTGTCAATGATGGACTTCTCTAGTTCTTTCTTTCTTATGTAACCATCTGCTGAACGTCTCTCATGTGTTAGCCACACAGTATACAAAGTGAACACAAAACACTATCCTGCCTTCAAGAAGTTCATAGTCTAGAAAGGAAGACAGGCATGTAAATAGAAATTTGCAGTAGTACCAGGGCATAAATGGCTCAAAGGTAACACAAAGATGGGAGTGATCTTTCAGCCTGATTCTGATCCCTGGGTTGAGATTGCCAGGGAGCTGGCGTGGTCACGCCTCTTTACATGTCACCCCAGCCACTTGGATACACAGCTGAGTGTTTGGCCCCAAGGACACTCTGTGGTCCTCCTGAATCTTTGGAAAGATTCAGCTGAAGAGTCAAGAAAGATTTAGTAGCACATACGCCAGATAGACTCAGTTGAAGATATTTCTACCACCCAGGGGTACGTAGCTTTGCATTTCCAATTAAGATATTCAATCTGTGTTTCTGCTGATTTACCCTGGCAAGGCTGAAGAATAGGTGCTTTTGTTTGGGTGGTTCTGTGTTTTGTATAATTGCAACTCCCTTTCTATAATCCTCCTTGGGTGAGGCTGAATGTTTGGGGGGTTTTTGGTTTGTTTTCCCTTTTGGGGTAGGGAGGGGCTTCCTGTAATATAAGTAATTACTCACTTATTGATGGTTTGTTGTTGTTGTGAGAATGTTAGTATGATGGGGTTTTTTTTAATTCTTTTTCTTATAGAAATACATACTAAAATATTTACAGATGCAATGACAGGATTCTGAGATTTGCTTCGAAATAAAACATGGCAGAGGAAAGTGGGTAAAGAGTAGATGACATGGATTGGTCATTAGTTGATACATTTTGAAGCTGGATGAAGATGCATGGAGACATGTTATACTATTCTTTTGTAAGTTTGACTTTTTCTGTAATAAAAGGTTTTTAAAAATCAATCATCATGCCCGGCCGGGCGTGGCTCAGCGATTGAGCGTCGACGTAGGATCTAGGCAATTGGGGTTCAATTCCCGGTCAGGGCACATGCCCGGGTTTGGGGCTTGATCAATGACTCTCTCATCATTGATGTTTCTCTCTCTCCCTCGCCTTTCCTCTCTCTGAAATCAATAAAGATATATTTAAAAAAAAAAAAAATCAATCATCATCATGAAACTGCAAGCTGAGATGAACCTTTGAGCCTCTTTTCACTCATTGTTCCCAGTGACCAGCAGAGGGCAGTGGGTAACACCTCATAAAACACAGCCCAGATCTCCTTGTGGCCATGGAGTGAGTGCCCACTGCAGGTTCCCCTGAGCGCTTGGTGCTTGTTTCCCTTTTCCTTCTAAACACATTGTATGCGGGAAACGTATTTATACGTTTTACATTGACTGGTAGTAGAGCGCGCGATAAAAACTACCTGCAAACAATGTGTAAAGATAGCTCATCGGATTGAGGAAGTCCAGAGTATCAGAATGTCTGTAACCGGCACTGAGGTTGCAGAAATTGTGGAAAATGATGAGCATCCCTTCAGAGTCTAGGCTTACTTGCTTTATGCTCTGGCTTTATGATGGTTGTGGGTTCAAATTCCAACTTAACTACTGTGATTTAGGCAAGTTACCTAATTTTTCTGAGTTTTAATTTCATGGGGATAATTATACCTGCTTCGCCAGGTTGTAAAAATTATATCTTAAATATATAAAAGCATCTAGTACTGTGCCTAGTTTTTTTCTTTTGGTATCATTACCTAGAAGTTTCCTGACCTCTCTTTAGAACATGGCTCTTTTCACTGTCATGTTCAAATAGCATTAGTCCCTTAACCAGGCCTCCAGCTGGAGTAAACTAGCAGTGGAAGGAACTGAGTGGCCGATTTGCCTGTTTCTTTTCCCTCTAATGTCACAGCGAGCTTTAGAACCTCCACCCCCTGCACTTTGTTCTTTAGAAGTCCTCCTGTTGCAGTTGTAGCTATTGTTCTGCTTGCTTTTGCTAGGGCCATCTCCCCTGAATCTCCAAAGTTCTACCTCTGTTCAGTTTTTCAGACGGCTCATGCGGGATGAGAAAACCCCAATGTATTCGGGTGAGATTTTATTCCTCCGTAGCCATTATCACTGTGTTTCTTTGCAACCTCCTGCTCATATGGGGGTAAAAAAGGAAGGATCAAAAGCAGATACTTTTTTTAAATCATACTTTCTTTTAATTTTTTTTATTATTATTGATTTGAGAGAGAGAGAGAAACATCGTTCGACTGCCTCCTGCACACCCCCTACCTGGGATCCGAAGCCTCCAACCCGGACATGTGCCCCAAGCGGGAAGCAAACCGGCGACCTTTCTAAAGTGTATGGGACGCCCGGCCGGGCGTGGCTCAGCAGCTGAGCGTGGACCTAGGATCCAGGCGATCGGGGTACGATTCCCGGTCAGGGCACATGCCCGGGCTGCGGTCCCCAGTCGGTCCCCAGTCGGGGGCCTGCAGGAGGCAGCCAATCAGTGACTCTCTCATCACTAATGTTTCTGTCTCTTTCTCTCCCTCTCCTTTCCTCTCTCTGAAATCAGTGAAGATATATTTTTTAAAAAATACAATAAATAAAAAATAAAGTACATGGTATGAGGCTCAACCAACTGAACCACACCAGCCAGGGCTAGCCTGAGTTTTGATCATTTAAAAAATAATGTAGACTTCTTTTAGGCTGTGCTGTTGGTAGAACGGCGTAGTTCTCCTCGGGGTAGCAGGTCAGCAGCTGGAGCCAGCCAGCTCAGAAGTAGCTGAAGACTGTTCAGCCTCCTAGCACCTGCCTGCTCCTCCTTTCATAGTAGCAGCAGATGGCATCACATCTCGTGCTGGGAACAGAAGACCAGCTAAGCAAACTGTCATATTCTGAGAAGCAGCAGTCTTTTATGTTTCTAATCGGTTTGGAGAGAAGTGGAACTGTTGGAGTACTCTGTGTGGGAACTGGGAGAGAAATGGGCAGTGGGGGTGGGATTTAGTGATTAGACTGAGAAGTAAGCAGGAGCCAGACAAGGGAAGCCCTTAAAAGCCATGAAAGGGAATTCAGAGTTCCTTTTGAGGGCAGAGAGGCTATAGAAAGACCATTAGAGAACTGAGAACCGACTGAAGGGAGATAAAGCTATTTCTTGGGAAGCTGGTTAGATATGGTTGCAGCCAGCCAGGTGAGGAGTCATGCAGCCTGAACTCGAGTCACTGCAGCAGAGGCAGAGAGATGAGATGCCAGCAATATTTAGAAGGCAGGTTGCCAGGTCCTGGTGACTGGAGGGATATGGAAAGTGGAGGAGAGAAAGGAGTCACTGCTTACTCCCCGGTTTGGGGCTTGGGAAGCAGTAGATGGCGGCGCCATTTCAGGAGGTAAGGAAGGCTGGGAGAGGATAATGGGTTTAGTTTTTGAAACCTTGCTTTATTTATTCCCACCTGACTTTCTGGTCAATCAGAATTAACTCTGGGGACAGGCACCTATTTACTTCTCTAGCTTCAAAAGATTCAGCTGGATTAACAAGACAGGTTTAGTCTTCTTCCTAAAAGGATTCTGGCATGCCTCAGTTGATTCTAACCAGCCTTTCCTGGCACATAATAGAATGGATCATCCATTGTTCTCTATTTTCTGATTTCTTAAAACTAAAATATTCCAATATTTGGTACTTATATATTTAAATAAGAAGAACACATAAGATTTTTTTTTCTGGTAATGTGCTTATCACTTCAACTTGAAAGTGTTTAAAATAAGTTGTACTTCTGCTTCAGAATAGATTTTCTTTGTGGATATATCTAAGTATGGTTAGAAACTAATTGGAAGAATGCTGAGGACTTACTGGTTTTCTCTCCTAAAGATCTGAAATACAGGATTGTGGGAAGATAGAGCTCTCACAACCCACTCATACCTCTGCCTCACATTGTTTCCTAGAGAATTTTGTCTGTCATTGAACCCGTCAGTTTAAGGTCATAGAGGCAATTCATAGTCTTACATTGGTAGTAACTTTGCTGTAGGTCATGTAAAACAATCTGGAAATCAACAGAAGAGAAACCCTAGGAGCCATATATTAAAGTCGGTTTCTGTACCCTTCCAAAACAAAATCCTGACTCTAGATACTAATCAGAATTCTTAATGACGAGTAAATAAGGATCTGTCTAAAGAAGAAATATTTAAAGAAATGTAGAGAAGGAGCAAAGACAATGGTGATGGGTCTCAGAGTAAAATTTCTCTCCTAGGAGGCTGTCTTCCCTCAAGACGTTTTCTAAATCAGACTCCCTAAATCGCCATCCTTTTTTAAAGAAAGGAAGCAGAGACCAAAAGTAAGCTTAATGTAGGCCAAGTAGAATTCTAAAGATTGTAAACTCTGTGAGGGCAGAGACCATCGCTGTTCATAGCAGCATCCCCAGCAACTCGCTCAGTGCCTTATTTATATAGGTGCTCAATAAATACTCATTCAGTGTATTTCAGTGACTGAATAAATGAAAGATTCTAGGTCTTCTGGTAGTATGGAAAATCTCCATGTGTACAGAAAAGTGCACAAATCATAAGTTGGTACATTTTCACAAAGTGAACACACCCATGCACCTAGAACTCAGGTGAAGAAATAGAACAGAACCAGTCCCTAGAATCCCCCTTTGCCACAGTCAGAGCCACCACTCCTCCAAGAGTAACTACTTACTATCTTGACTTCTAATGCTTCTGTTTTGCCTACTTTTTTAACGTTACATAAATACGTACTCTCATGTCTTCCACTCCTCATGACATCTGTGAGATTCATCATGGTGTGGGGAGGAGCAGTAGTTCATTTGTTCTCATTGCTTCCAGACCACTGTGTGAATATATACAATTGATCCACTCTACTGCTAACGGCTTCTTGAGTTGTTTTCTGTTTGGGCCATTACGAGTAGTGCTGCTGGTTTTGTGCCTGACTTTTGGTGAGCATATTATGCATTTCTATTAGGTATAAACTTAGGTGTAGAATTACTAGATCATAAAGCATGTGAATGTTTAACTGGTATCTAGCAAACAGTTGTCCACATTACACTCCCATTAGCAGAGTTCCTATTGCAGCACTTCCTAGGCTAAAACTTGATATGATGTATCTTTTTCATTTTAGGCACTTCTGGTAGGTGAGTAGTGGTATTATACTGGAGTCTTAATTTACATTTTCTTTTCTTTTTTTTAATATATCTTTATTGATTTCAGAGAGAGGAAGGGAAAGGGAGAGAGAAATAGAAACATCAATGAGGGGAGAATCATTGATCCGCTGCCTCCTGCAGGCCCCCAACTGGGGATCGAACCCACAACGCAGGCATGTGCCCTGACCGGGAATCGAACCGCGGTCTCCTGGATCCTAGGTCGACGCTCAGCTGCTGCGCCATGCCAGCTGACTAGTAAAGCTGGGCATTTGTTCATATGCTTACTTGGATTTCCTCTTCTGTGAAGTGCCTATTCTCATCTTTTGTTCATTTTTCTGTTGAGTTGTCTGCCTTTTCTTGCTGGCTTCTCTATATAATCGGAATATAGGTCCTTTGTGGAATATATGTAATGCAGAAACCTCCCCCTCTGGGGCTTGTTGTTTCACTCTCTTAATGGTGTCTTTTGGTGAAAAGAGGTTCTTAATTTTACTTAGTCCAGTTTAACCATTTTGTCCTTTGTGGTCAGCAGCTTTTGTATCCTGTTTAGGAAATTTGGCCTATTCCAGGTTCCTGAAGTTTAAGTCCTCCACCTTTGTTGCAGTTAGAATATTGAGGCAGAAAGGACCATTTATTCTGATCGGTTGGTTCTTACCCTGTTGCAAATCCTGGCTCCCTATAAAAATCTGGCCAAAACTTTGCACTCTCTGCGCAGAAGCGCACATGTGCATCTACACAGCAAACCGCTACAGTTTCAGGGAGTTCACAGACTGACCTTGAAGCCTGTCCTTGGGCCCCTCGTTAGAGAACCCCTAACCTGGTCCAGGCCAGTCACTGTGCAGATGAGGAAGTCGAGGCCAGAGACGGGGAGTTGCACTGTAAGTTTGTGGCCCAGCGAGGACTGGAATTTGGGCCTCTTGACTGCTATCCCAGTGGTCTTTGTAACACAGTTCTCTGCTGCAGTCTTTCTGAGAGTATCACTCTGGCAGAGCCACTGAAGGGAGAGATTGTATTTAATTAAGGGAGGTTTCCATGGGCTAGCAGGGAAAAAAAAAGGCTACATGGTGTCTCTGATGTACTTTATATATTTACCTTAAATGGTAAACTCCAAGGAGTCTGTGAGTACATTTTTTAAGTTGAACTGGGACTTATCATGGTCGGTACATCTTCCTGCAGCTGTGACTCAGTGCCCCAGGGTTGCTGTGTTGAACCTTATGCAGCTACCTGTATTCTGCTTAGTGTCTTGATTGGCTCTGACTAGCATTTTAAAAAGCACCTTACGTAATAACTTTCCAGTTTCAATGCTCAAGTGGGTGAGGTTTACCAGAGTGTTTGCTCCAGGGAGAAAATTAAAAGGGGTGGAGGCAAGGAAAGGAGCTCTGAGTTTCTTAACTAGGCTCTGTCTGTTTGCAAGTAGTCAGTCAGTGTACAAGCCAGGCCAGAGTTTCTAGAAGTATTTGCTAATGATTTTACTGGTACCTTGCCTTTTAACCTGCCACTGCCTGCAGTAGCCTCTTAAAAGGTCCTAAGTGGAGTAGGCAGCTTACATGTAACATGGCCAGGTATTTTCTTTCTTTTTTTTTTTTTTTTTTAAATATTTTTTTTTTGATTTCAGAGAGAGGAAAGGAGAGGGAGAGAGAGAGTAGAAACATCAGTGATGAAAGAGAGTCATTGATCCGCTGCCTCCTGCACGCCCCCAGCTTGGGACCGAGCCCGCAACCCGGGCATGTGCCCTGACCGAGAATCAAACCCCAATCACCTGGATCCTAGGTCGACGCTCAACCGCTGAGCCATGCTTGGCCGGGCTGGCCAGGTATTTTTAGGAGTCTCTAGAACTCTCTAATCCTTTTACCTCATCAGCAATGTTTACAAAGTGCACTGCTAGGGGTGTGCATTTCATACTCGCAGCACAGACCACAGTTTGTATCCCATGGTGAAAAAGACTGGTTGGATCTTTGGGCCACACCCTGAAACACAGACTAAATGATCTCATTCTCAACACAAAGGAAGTCGAGCCCATAATTCTGTCTGCAAATAGGATCCTATTAGATCTGACAGACAAGTAACATCCCACTTATTCTATCCCATTTTACTTCTTTCCCATAAGCTCCCCAGAGAGCTTATCCTGTTTCACCTGGTACTTGTGATTAAGTGTGCAGAGGGTGGGGGAAGATCAGGTATCTGAATTAGGTGCGTCTGTTCTGTCATTTCGAAAACATTTACCAAGTACCTACCATAGGTGATGAGGAGACAGGGATGAATAGAACAAGGTCCCTGTCCTCAAGGAACTCCCAGTCCAGGCAGAGGGACAAGTTAATAAACCTGTTCCTGAGCCCCGTACAGAGGGGTGAGTGCTGTGCTGGGCGTCAGCACAGGTGGTGTGGGTGTAGGAGGAGCAGTGTCTGAATTGGCCTGGGGAGTAAAGGAAAGCACTTCTAGAGAAGAAACCTGAAAGGGGATATGATGTCTGCTCAGCAGAAAGTGATGGAAACAATATTCACTCTGGGCAGGTCATCGGCACACGCAGTGACACTGAAGCAGTGAGCTGGGGTTGGTTGGGATGCAGGCACTGGGAGTTAGAAAGGGGCCAAGGATGCTCACTTACATACAGATCTTGTATTTGTTCTTCCTTTCTCTTAGTTTTTAAGAACTACTAAATTCAAAGGCCGCCAATATGCTAATATCTCAAAAGATTCATTTATCCCGGAAACTCAGGTACCTTTGACGTCACATCACCGTTTTAATAAATGCCTAACTCACAGTCTTTTCCCCTCACGATCGTGGTGACCTTTAATAACCCTTGGCTCCCAGGGTCTCCTAAACAGTCAGCCCATCACTGCTGTACTCCAAGGACAAGTCTCTGGTCCAAATATCACAAAACCTCTAGCTGAGTATCCACTAAATAAGCCTCAGTTCTCTCACTGTCTCTTCTTTTTCTCTTTTAGGCATGAAGAAATCATTGATTTATAGTTCACGAAAACTGCATAAAATGTGGAAAGGATGGCTGAGGAAAACATCCTGATTTTGCTTGCTTTTTATATGTGCACAAATAAAGTGTTCCTTTTTGACAAAACAGTGTTTGTTACTTTGACCGGTTCCTTGAATTTGAAGATACCTTGGTTTGCATAATAGAGCACATCCTCAAATAACATTGTTTCTTTCAATGTCATTTCGTTACGATGTCGATAAGGGGAAAAACTGATTCCTGGCTAGATCACTATGTAGCTTGACATTCTCCCCGTGCCCGTGGGTTTTCTCCAGGTGCTCTGGTTCCCTCTCGCATCCCAAAGATGCGCACGTGAGGTTCATCGGCAACTCTAAATTGTCCCCGTCCAAGTGAATGCTCCCGCCCTCGCGCCCGGCGTTGGAAGGGCACCCTGTTTCCATTGCTCAGTGCTCTAGTACAGACCCTTAGGTTCTTTTGTAAATTTGAACAATATTTTTAGACTTACTTTTTCCACCTTTGGGTTCAGCGCATTCAAACCCAAGTTAGAAACCCCATGGTATAGTGAAAGGAGCCCAGGCTTAGGACATGACCAAACCATGTTGAATCTCTGCCCCACCACGGACTAGCTGTGTGACTTTGGGCAAGTTATTTAGCCTCTGAACAGTTTCACTGTGAAACAGGGATACTATTACATATAATAATTTGGCTGTCGTGAAGATCCTGTGAGCTAAGTGTCGTATGTGCTAGGACACTGCCTGCTAGCCTTCAGTAAATGATTATCACTGCTATCGTTATTTTGTATTACTGTTTTGTTGCTATTTTCTTCTATAAACCTTTATGTTTCTTTGTGTCAGGCTCTTCCTCAAGAAGCTAAAATAATTCCCCACTACTTACAGGATAAAATAAGAATTTCTCATTATGCCTAGTCAGTTCAGAGTACTATAATAGGGTATCATACTGGGCTTATAAACAGAAATTTATTTCTAACAGTTCTGGAGCCTGGAAGTCTGTGATTGGGGTGCTAGTATGTTTGGGTTCTGGTGAGCCCTCTCTGGATTTTAGAGGGCTGTTTTCTCATATCCTCACATAATGGAAAGAACAGAGCTGAAGTAAGCTCTCATGTCTCTTCTTACAAGGGCACTAATGCCATTCGCAAGGGCTCCACCATCCTGTTGTAATTACCTCCCAAAGGCCCCATGCCTGAATACCATTATATTGAGGGTTAGAATTTAAACATGAATTTGGGGGAAACATAAACATTGATTCCATACAGGCCTATTCAAGACCTTCTGTTAACAGGCTTTATTTCACTTTTATCTTCTGCCTCCTGTCTCTGATATGGCTTTTTATATCCTCAACTACTTTGAAAATAGATACTCAGTAGAGGACAGAACATTAGTGTCATTTTCCAGCTGGGAATACCTGAGGCCCCAAGAGAGGAAGTGACTGCCTAGTATCATAATGTCTGAGTAACATAGCTGAGACTTGAACCCAGACCTGCAAGCTTTTGTCTAGTGCCTTTTCTCACATGAATACTTGAGCCTTTGTGTTCTACTTCCCCTAGCTGTATTCTTTCCTCGATTCATTTTCAAGTGTAGATATCTAAGTGGGGATTCATCTAACAGGTACATAAGATGAGAAGTGAGACTTCATCTGAGGAAAATGGAATTCTTTGGCAAGACGTAGCTCTTCTCAAATTCCAGAAGGCCCCAAAAATAAATGTACTTGAGAGCCAGACCTCTTCCTAGCTGTGTTCTTGGGCAAGTTAACCTTTCTGAGCCTCGGTTTCTGTGTCATAAGGTAAGGATGCTCATACCCATCTGACAGGTCTGGTGTTAGAACTAAATGAGGTAATGTATTAAAGCACCTAGGTTAGTCCTTGGCATATAATAATAGTTTCTACAAGTTGTTTTGCTATTGAATTCAGATGGTGAGTTTGGATAGCTAGAGATAATCCCACATGTCTAAGTCAGAATTCAGTCAGGAAAACAAACCATCCTAGGTATATCAAATAGAGGGGATTTAATAAGGGGAATTTATTACAAAAATGTTGAAAGAACTGGCAAACAAAAGAAGGGGTATGCTGGGGGAGGAAGAAGGGATGACTCCCAGAGGTCAGGAGGCAGTTAACATCCCTGGGCTGGAATCTCCAAGCAGATCTGCGTACTGTGTTGCTGGAGATGCTATCTGTGTTGGTTTCAAAATGCATTCACAAATTTTTTGGCTCCCCTCACGTCAGTAGGTAGAGCATAATTCTCCTTCCTTGAAGATGGGCTGGCCTGAATGACTTGATTCTAACAGCTAGAATACATCGGACAAGGTACTCTATGACCTCTAAGGTGAGGTCCTAAAAGACGATACACCTCCCACCTGGCTCTTTCTTAGAACACTCACTCTTAGAATCTAGACACCAGGTTGCGAGGAAGCCCAAGCCGTGTGGAGAGGACAAGTGTAAGTGCTCCAGCTGACAGTGGGCATCAGCTGCCAGACAAGTGAATGAGCGAGCCTTTGTGGTCTCCTGCTCTAGGCACTGCCTGACTGCCGCCAAGTGTGGGACCCCAAACTGTAACTGCCTAGCTGAGCCCAGCCAACTCCTAGAACCCTGAGGGAGAATACAGAAATGATTATTGTTAAAAGTCTTTAAGTTTGGGGAGACTTTTTATGCAGCATTAGGTAGGTAATTGGCCCAATGCCCCTGCCAGTGTGAGAGATGCCACCACTGCCCAGATGCCACTGAGGGACCATGAATAACTGCTGCTGCTGATGAAGTCAAACCTAGGAACTCCCTATCCCCCACCCTTGGATCTCCCCATTGACTCCAACTGGCAAAGCTTATTAGGTCTCCTGGTAAGAAAGCCTGGGAAATGTACTTCACAGACACCCACCCCCAGCAGTGTGGAGTGGAGTGCAGAAGAATGGGTGTCCGGCTGAAGCACACCAGGTAAATTATTGCATATCCACCGCTCCAGTGACTGAATATCTATGTACACCCTTCAATTAATACATAAGCTTTCTACAATAATGGCGGCCTCCAGCTTCCGCCTGACATGATGAAACTATCCTTTGTACTTAAGAAAACGCTTTTAGCCCGGCCGGGCGTGGCTCAGTGGTTGAGCATCGACCTAGGATCCAGGCGATCGGGGTACGATTCCCGGTCAGGACACATGCCCAGGTTGCGGGCTTGATCAATGACTCTCTCAACATTGATGTTTCTGTCTCTCTCTCTCTGTCTCCTTTCCTTTCTCTGAAATCAATAAAGATATAAAAATGAAAAAAAATAAAATGCTCTTTTGTACAAATTTGTATAATGAGCAGAAAAGAGCATTATATCCATCTCTGGATGATGCTAATTCCTTTTGTAATCACACTCTCACCTGGCCATCGGATAACCTAGAAACCAACCTGTAAAGTTAAACCACCACTGACACTCCTTGTAGAAAATACAGCAGATTGAAGGTTAAATAGATACGTGCCTGTCTGTGTTAAGGAGATAAATAGAAGTAATGGCAGCTATTGGCTGAGCCCTTATAGTGTGTCAGGCACTGTCCTAAGCACTCCCTATGCACGTATTCATTTAACCCTCACCACAGCTTTATATAATAGGGATTCTTATTATTCCCTATTTTATGCCTGAGGAAATGGAGGCACCCAGAAGAAATACCTTACATACAGTTTCACAGGTAGTAGATGACAACCAGGATTCAAAACCGGGCCATCAGTTTCCAGAACCCTCCCTGTTAACCTCTTAGCTAAACCGTCTCTCAATCACGTAGGATTCGCCCACTGAAGCGTATGAATAGAGGGAGCAAGTGATGTCCAGCCTGTTACTTTAAGGACATGTAAGTTGGCCCAGCCTGGCGTGGCACAGCGGTTGTGCGTCGACCTAGGATCCAGGAGATCGCGGTTTGATTCCTGGTCAGGGCACATGCCCAGTTGTGGGCTTGATCCCTAGTCGGGGGTGTGCAGGAGGCAGCCGATCAATGACTCTCTCATCATTGATGTTTCTCTCCCTCTCCTTTCCTCTCTCTGAAATCAATAAAGATATATTTTTAAAAATAAAAATAATCTTTCCTTTAAAAAAAAAAAGAAAAAGAAAGAACATGTAAGTTACCCAGAGGAGAAGGAAGAGTGTCCTAGACAGAGGGAAGTGTTTGTTCAAAAGCCCTGAATGAAGAGATCACAGTATGTTCAGGGCACTAAAGTTAGCTCCAAATGAATAAAATGCCAGGCAGAAGTGAAGCTGGAGAAATGGCTGAGGCCAGATAATGAAAGGTCTTGATACGGCCTGTTAGTGTGTTAATCATTATCCCAGAGCAATGGGGTTGGCAGAATTGGATTTGCATTTTCTAAAAACCATTATGGCTGGAACATAGAGCATGAATTAGAAGGGACAACAAGATTGAGATCATCTAACTGAGAGATAATGGTGGTCTAGGGCAGAATTGTTGAGAAGGGACTGAAAGGGACAGACTCAAGTGATGTTTAGGAGCTATACCCAGTACAGCTTCATGGTTGAATACGGAGAAGGCGGTGCCAAGGTTTCTGGCTGGGGCAGCTGGGAGAAGGGTGTACCATTTCTCAAGTTAGGGATTCAGCAGGAGAAGCAGATTTGTGGGTAGCTTGTGGATGGTGATAAATTCAGGCCCAGGTTTGCTGAGTTTGGGATGTCTGTGGGAGATGTTCAGTAGACAGTTAGCTACACAGGTCTGGGGCTGGAAATAGAACTGAGAGTTGGCAGCTAATAGACGGGAGTGGATGAGATTTCCCCCGGAGTCTGTAGGGTACAAAGAGAAGAAAGCCAAGGGCACAACACTGGGGAACACCAACATGAAAGAAAAAGGCAAAGAAATTTGAGGAGTAGTGGAAAGGTCAGAGGAAAACCAGGAGAACTAGGTGTCAAGTCATACAGGGGATGGTGGGGAAGCATTAAATTGTATTACCGTTCCCCTGATAATTGATTTTCCCTCCCTGCAGTGTCCCCTCCCATGGGAGGATCAATTGTCTTCCCCCACAGACATCAAGTGTGGCCTTGTGACTTGTTTTGGCCAATACAGTGAGAATGTAAGTGGCAAGTGTCACTTCTGAGCAGAAACTTTAAGAGCCAGCCCAGAGTTTTTTAACACGTCTC